GTTAATTTATTGTTGTTTATTTTAAATACCTTTAATACAGTTTTATAAAGAAAATAAAGCTTTTTAGAAAAGTAAGAGTGTCCAGTTTTTCTATTATAACATCAAAGTAAGCAAATGACCTGTACAGAAATAAGCAAATAATTTTCTTTTTCATTATCACACTGGACAAAAGAGATGCTATTTAGATTTGTAGTGGTGTTTACAAAGAAGAGTGTACTGTGTCGGTTAAATGTGTGAAATGTTAAAATGAAAAGTTTATGTGTGTTGAAAGGTTTCAGGAGGAGACTCGTACATTCAGGGCTGTGCTTTCCATGACGGCTTCTCCCCAGCCATCGGAGTCTTTGGAACAGATGGACTGAAAGTCGATGATAACATCGTCCACCATGCTGTTGGAGAAGGTAAACGCCATCCTGTTCAGTACTGCTAGTTGCTAGCACTTGTCAGGAACCTTTTAACATACTATAACTAGACCATGTGTCTCGCAGGTATCAGGATTTGGGGCAACAGTGTAACAGTGAGGAGGAACCTGGTGACAATGACATTATGGCCTGGATCATATCAGGGCAGAAACGAGGTGTCCAACTTGGACTGGAACGCTGCCATCGAGGTCCATATTCTCATAATAGAACATTTTATAATTTAAAATGTAGTCCAGCCTGTGTGACCTGTTGTTTTTTGGTATATCAGGTAAACAAAGGGAGAAATACTGTGATGCAGCATAACATCGTGGCAGGTTATGAGAGAGTGGCGTACCGCATCAATGGTGAACCATGCCCAGGTAATGGAACTTGATTTACAGTAGCTAAAGTGAGAGCGCACTAAAGTTCCCATGCTGGGCTGATAAAGTATATTTTCCAGAAGCAGTAAAAATGATCACCTCATGGTAGTTCACCAGTTTTCTTTCATAAAGTCTTAACTGTTGATTTTCCTGAAAGATGCTTGCTCCCATGACTTCTGCCTGTACAGGTTATCTGAATGAAAATGAGAAGTGGTCTAACAACGAGGCTCACAGCGGTCTGTTTGGAGTGTTTCTCAACAAAGACGGTTTGCCCGGCTGCACTTTCATCCAGGGATTCTTCATCTGGAGGAGCTTCGATTACGGCATCTACTTCCAAGTAGAAGAAATGAGCCTTATCTTACCCATATCCACAAAACATGTTGTGATAAAAGAGCTTAACAGGGCTACAGCTGACTGCACCAAGAGCTGTCCTAACCTGACTACAGGGATCCAAGACTAGCTGTGATTTCCTAAATGAAAACATTTCTATTTTCCATCATTTTGTCACATTTTACTTCTGGAAACAAACACCATACTTGTAAGCCATGCGTGAGCATTTTAAAGTCCTGTATGGACTGGCAGATACAGTATATCTACAATCTGAAAGCAGCAATCGCTTGTGAAACGTTAGAGTACCGTCATTTGCAGCCTCTGTGTCAGCAGTGCACATGAACTGTGAAATGGGCTTTACATTTCAACTGAAGTTTAATCTGTTTTGGTTCTCTTTCTAAGATACATTACATAGTATGAAACTCATGTTGACTCAAGTAAAATTTCTGAAATGCTGGTCTTCAGTGAGACAAAGATTTTCTAGAGCTGTGTTCAGGATTCATCAGAAAAATATAGGCCAAGAGCTGCAAGAGTTTGATCATCTAGACTGTTTACAAGAAAAGATAACAGATCCCCATCATCAGCTTCTTCCTCTGCCCCTCACAGACCATCATGAATGTCATTGTTTCCAACGTGACCCTGGTGGATAACGGGATGGGCATCATGCCCCTTATCTATGCTCCTCCTTCTGTCTCCCATGCATATGTTGATAAAACAGTACAAATCCAGGTGAGAGGGTTCTTGCTGATTCTTTCTTTTTGGTTTTCTTTTATTTTAATAATTCAGTATGACCTTTTCATTGGCAAATTTCATATTCTTCATTTTCCCAGAATGCCTTGATTGTTGGCAGCAGCCCAAACTTCAAGTGTTCAGACACTTTGCCCACTGATGACTTTAATATTGCCAGCAGCAATGAACATCGAGCCCCCAGGCCTCTCACAGGTGCAGGAGGAGCTCCCTTTGCTGCCAGAACAGATGCCAAAAGGCCTTTTTTAAAATCGTCAACATCAAGTTGCCTCAGCTCATGGTGTTCTGATAACTCTATGAAAGAGATTTTTTTTTGCTGTTTTAGAATGAAAAGCTGCACATAGATGTTTTAACACAGTGAAGATTTTTTAAAATTATATTTTAAAGAGGCTTTAGTTTTGTATTCTTGACAGTTTAATCAACCAAGACGTTATCTTTGACAAGTTTAGCTGGTTTATTAAATGCAGATTGTTTAAACTGAAAATAATTCATCCTGTCTTTAATCTGCGAATCTGTTTTCAATCTGAAAAGGGGGCAGATCCGGAATCTGCTGGCCGACTTTTCAGTCTGGACACAACAGCGCTCCTTACATGGCCTATCATGAGAATAGCAACTACAATTCCATCAAAGGACTGATGACTGTCAAGGGTGAGTTCAGGCTCAGAGTTCTTGGAGCAGAGTAGTTTGTCTGTATCTACTGTACATGCTGCTGTAGTGATCTAGTCATCAGAAACTGTCTTCATATCTTATCTTCCTGTTTTCTGTCCATCCAGACACAACATTTATCAGTTTCCGAAATGTGTGCTCCAGCGAGACAAATGTCATGTTCATCAGCAACCCGCAGAGCGAGGACCTGCAGCACCCTGTGCAGGTCTCAGGCATCCGGGTGTTTGACAGCACGGAGAACGCTCAAGTCTTTGTTCACAGGCCTGATCTGGGGCAAGTACCTGTACATGAACAGATACCAGGCTGGCAAAATCGGTGATATTTCAATGTACATCAGACAAGAAAATAGTTTTCCATGAATCATGGATAACAGTATTTAAGCATTAAAAATGTTTGAGCCTGTCTTCAAAGTCATATAAATGATATACAGTCTTATGCAAAAGTTTAGGCACCCCTTGATAAATAACAGATTTTGGTGATTTTTTATTTGTGACAGCACGGAGAACGCTCAAGTCTTTGTTCACAGGCCTGATCTGGGGCAAGTACCTGTACATGAACAGATACCAGGCTGGCAAAATCGGTGATATTTCAATGTACATCAGACAAGAAAATAGTTTTCCATGAATCATGGATAACAGTATTTAAGCATTAAAAATGTTTGAGCCTGTCTTCAAAGTCATATAAATGATATATTGATTTATTGCTGCTATAATGATTTGTAAATGTTCTGAGTTGCAATAAGCAGAAAGACAAATGAGTAACATGCAGTAACTGCTGCATGATGATTAAAAGTAAACAGGTCTACTGACACAGCTTCAATTTGGGATTTAAATGAATAAACAGGTGCATTTTCACATAAAAACCGTTGTGTTGGATTTGTACATTCGATGTCATTTTTTTTCTTTCTACTTAAGTGTGTAACAAAAAATCTAATTATTAAGGAGTGTTTCTGTGCTTCAGTAAAGTGAACCCCTCTGACTGCGTGGATATGGACTGCGATGCCAAGAAGAAGAGCTTGCTGAAGGACCTGGATGGCTCGTTCCTGGGAGCAGTGGGATCTGTGGTGCCTCAGTCTGAGTATGAGTGGGGAGGTGATCCGAGGAGGGGACTGGGTGACTATCGCATCCCCAAAGTCATGCTCACATCCCTCAGTGGCAGCCGCATCCCTGTGAACCAGATCGCTCCAAACAAAGGTAAGTAGACCGAAAACAAAAAATCTGTGATGATTTCTTTCTTTTGAAAACCGACAAATGACGAGGTGCAGACCAGCTTCAGTGCAAATCCATCAAAATGAAAGCACCTCACACAAAATAAACTAATTTCTGTGTTGCTTCATTGTCCTCAGGTGTGATCAGGAAAAACTGCACATACATGAATTCCTGGCAGTGCTACAAGTGTTTTGGGCTGAACTACAAGATGCTGGCGATTGAAAGTCTTGACTCTGACACAGAGACCAGGCGCCTGTCCCCCATCGCCGTGCTCGGAGACGGCTTTGTGGATCTCATCAACGGTAGGGGTTAAATCCAGCACAATCTAAACGATCTTGCCACAAATCAGTAAAAGAAATCAAGAAGAAGTGTCTGATTCAGCTGTGTGTGTTTGTGTCCAGGGCCTCAGGATCACGGTTGGTGTGCGGGATACACCTGCCAGAGGAGACTGTCTCTCTTCCACAGCATCGTGGCCACCAGTCACTCCTTTGACATCTACTTCACCAGCGTCAGCCCTCAGAACCTTCGCCTCATGTTGCTCAACGCTGATCCATCGGAGGTCAGCGCAGGATGGCAGTGCTTGGCTCTAACTATTTCTTTCACCAACATTAGTAGCTTTATTTATAATTGCGATAGTATTTTTGAAATGCAACTCCTAACATCAACACAAACCTGCACATTAGAGAAGAGACTTATAACCCTTCAATTCACTGAGTTTTCAACTTTTGTTTTTGTGTAGAGCATCATGGTTTCCATCTTCTACTCCAAGCCTCAGCGGCTGGATGTGTACGTTGACAACAAGCTGGTGGCACCGACTAATGCTGAGTGGAACACTGATAAAACTGACTACACCCTGAAGAAGCCTTCTTATACAGGCATGTGATTGTAAATCATTTCAGGAGGTAAAACAAGCAGGGAAGGACATACACTGCAGTCACATATGTAAAACTCACAAACACACACACATTTAGGTGACAATGTTTTTTTAATTACAGACAATTCAAGTACATTACTCTCCTGATTGGTTTATTGACAGTAGTTGTGCTGGACACCTGTAAACATGTAAAAGCACTTCACCTTAGAAAAACATTACGTTATCATTTGTCTCTATGTCTCTGCGCCAGCAGTAGAAGCTTTATGTTTTCAGGTTGTCTGTCTGTCTGTCCTTCGTCCGGCCCATTCTGCTGAACACGGTATTGTAGGAACACCTTGAGGGAATCTCAAAGGTCACTATGATCTGTCACATTCATTAGATTTTGAGTGGCTGACGGCGGCATACGTCCGCAAAGCAGTTATTCTAGTTTGCCAGTGGAGCTAAAGTGAGCACAAACTGTAAACTGAGCTTTAACTGCTGGATTGGCAACTGAGGATTTAGCAACTCAATACAAATATGTTAAGAACTACTGTTATTGCTGGAAAATAATTTTAAAGAAATACAATTAGCTTTTGTTACATTCTGTTTATTATTTTGGCCATAGTAGAGACATGTTCCTGTACTGTTAAATATTAAATCAATAAAGATAAAAGCCATACATCTTAACACATTCTGTAGATGTTACAAATATGGAAAACTCCTGAAATAGAGAATATGTGGGTAAATAACCATGAATCCAATAAAAACTTTTTATTTTATTTACATTTTAGCAGCGATCACATGTTGTGTTTTTCTGTATGTGATCTGTTCAGGTCAATACGTCCCTCAGCTGAACTCTACTTTGGGCACCAACTACTTCGACCGGGACTACAAGATGCTGAAAGTCGTGCTGGCAGGCTCCCAGCCGGCAGAGATCCGGACCGCTCCAGTTCTCTTCATTTCCTTTGGGCTGCCTGCCATGACCGAGGAGCAGTTCTTTGGAGAAAACCTGATCCAGAACCTCGCTTTGTTTCTCAACATTCCCCCAAACATGATGCGGATCTCCAAGATTGTCAGGGCAGATGGAGGTGCACAGCGCAGGAAGAGGTCGACGGGTCTGACGGTGGAGGTGGAGATCAAGAAACCTCCAGTCCTGCAAACCACCAACAGCACCAACAGTTAGTATGGAGATGCAATACACTTTCTGGGCTATTTTATTTGCTAAAATTGTATTTACAGAATCAGCTTTATTGGCCAGGTGTGTTGAACGCATGAGGAAACCTCTGAGATGGAGTCACTAGGCCAAGTCTTCGTGAAGCACAGAGCAGCAGAGTGTAAGAAGTCAGAGTTAGTCCAGTTGACCAGAACTAGTTCGTCCATTTTGTTGGCTAGAGAGCAGAGATAGGCTAGATGGATAGACGGGCGTGGCGTCCAGGTCCCTCTCTGTACTAACTTAACCAGGGCCCCACACTCTCTTCTCTCGCTGGCGTTTTCTGTAGGTCCCTTAAAGGGCTGCTCCCCTTCTGACCAGAATGCCCACACAGCTTTTTGCATTAGCAAAAATGGGAGAGAAGGGTTTCGGAGTGAGTTGTCTGATGTTTAGGAGCTCTTCTCTGGTAAAAGTAATCCTGGATGGATTGCAGAAGACGAAGAAAACGAGGAAAAACAACAAATACATGAGAGAGTGCACCACCAAGGCAGCCATCCACGGCGCCATTTTGACTCAATGTGATATGTGCCTGTAAATTCATGTCTTGAATAAAAATGAAAGCTACTGCATAATATTTGTAACATTGCTCTCTGTCCTGTCACTTCTCAGATGAGCAGGATTTTACTCTGCTGAAGAACATTGCTAATAATCTGGGTCAGGCAGCAGTTTCTGGAAACCTCAGTCAGTCCCTTGGCTTTAACATCTCTTCGATTGGCATTATCCCTCCTCCTCCTCCGTCATCTGACCCCAGCTGGAATGAGGTGATGCTCAAGGCTTCCTACTAAAAACTAACAACTTCATTGTCAGTTTTACATGAATTCATGGGTGCTCATTTGTGGTTTTCTGCTTTAAATTCCAGGTGGCCACAGCAGAAGTGACAAGGGCGGACCCTAAAGCAAGCTATGTGTCCAGCGTGGCCAACCTGCTGCTGATAAAGGAGCCGATAGCCGGGGAGTCTGTGGGTCCCCTGTACCAGCAGCCCAGTCTGATGGCCGTGGATGCACAGGTGAGTCACAGGGCATCTCCAGCCAAGTCTGCTATTAAATTCAGTGTTGTGCTGTCATACACACATACGTACAAAGAAAAAGTGAAGTAGATTAGAGCAGATTTGAGCACAACCAGAAGTAAAATATGTGGTATTGTAGAGAATAAAATGACAGAAAAATAAAGGACACATACAGAAACAGATTTAACATAAGTTTTGAGTGACTGCCGTGGTTGTTTGCAGGGTAATTGTGTCTCTGTGGGAGTGACAACTCTCACTGTTACAGCCAGTCTGAAGGATGTCAGTGGAAACAACATGGATGGACTTGAAGGAAACACCACCATCCTGTTCAGCGCCTGCTGGGCCAACTTCACCAACCTGTCCATTCTCAAAAGCAGTATGTCTACATCCGGATTTTTAAATAGCGGTCCTGCAATCAACTTTAAATCTGATGTTTAACACTGGTCATTTAACACTTTGCTTTTAAAATGCTTTAAATGAAACAAAATATTAAATAGTAATTACTCCTCCTCTTCCAGCAGGTGAAAACCTGAAGATGGTCTTCACGCTGATGCAGTGGGGTGTTGAGTCACGTTCCTTCAATATCAAAGGCACCCTGACCACCGACACCCCGACGACCGGCAGCAATGTCACTGAGCCAATGGCCACCACTGACAACAGTGTCATGGGCTCCAGCAGCACTGTGTCTGCCAGCAGTCTGTGTCTGCTCGGCATTGTCTACGCTGTGGCCTGCTGCTCTGAAGACATCCCCATATGGTAGATAGCTCTGTCAAAGCTGCTCAGGGAAGAGGAGTTTATGAAGGATAACTCTACATATATTCACTTTAACATCAGCATCTGTTTAGTAAAACAAATGTGGATTTTTTTTCTGTTTCTATGGGCTCTTTTGTGTCATATCTAAATGTCTGTTTGACATCAGGGGCCAGATCCATACTGACTTCCTTTTTGAAATTTGAATCAAACAAGCATCGGTTTAAGTTTCTGTGGAACTATGTTCTTTTTACAATAAATTCTATTTTCCATGGTTAAATGTTTTTCTTGGTTCAGATAATTATTTCCTAATGCTGCCTAAGACTCTGTCCATGGTGCTGGAGGACACTGGCTGCAGCAGGTGTCCTGTTTTGAGCCAGCCTTGCATTTGTGTTTCACTAGAGGGCGGGAGACGCCGCGGGAAATCCTCAGGCCACAGAAGCAGAGCTGCGGTGATATTTAAACTCCTGCTGGAACAGAGGGAGACTCACAAACCGACTAAAAACTCGGCGTTAACAGCTATTTTTGGTTTTGTACACGCAGGTTTTGTGTTGGAAACTAAAAGTGAGGCTCCGCAAATGCACCAGAAGTTGACGCGCGTCTTTTCAGCGCACATCTGCTTGTTTGATGCATTTTGTAATGTTTGTACCCCTTTGGTCTAAATGAAGAATGTTGAGGGGAAGAACAGTTTTACAGCCTTAATTTGCGTCCTCCTTTTAGCCTTAACGATCGCAGTACCACGTGGGCGTGTTCTCGCCTCTTGTTAAACTTTGCACCTCCTGTCCTCCAGAGCTGTGCGCACTTTGCAGAGCAGCCACTTGCTGCAGAGCGGATGCAGAGGTGAGCATCGGCTTTGCCCGTGGTCCCACGGCCACAGCTCAGGCTCCGGCTCTGATTCAGGACGAGACCAGAGGATGGACTTCTATCATTTTACTCTACTCTGCGGGGCTCTGGTGTTTGTTTGGGAAGTCCCTTGTTTTCAGGCTCTTGCTATTTTCCCTGTAGCTGCTCCAAAGAGCAGCAAGGTGGCGAAACATTTGAATGGACAAGAATCATCGAAATATTTTTACGCACCGCCATCCATCGACAAAAAGGGTAAAGCATCATCGAAAGATTTAATCGAGCCTCATGACTACATGCTATCTATATACAGAACCTTCTCCGCGGCGGAGAAACTGGGACTCAACGCCAGTTTTTTTCGCTCGTCAAAAGCTGCAAACACTATCGCAAGTTTTGTGGACAATGGACAAGGTATGTTGAGCTTTGCTTTGTGGGTGTGGGTGTGTGCGTGTGCGCGTGAGTCAGTCTGCATGCAGGTATGTTACTTTTGTCTTCCAGATTAATTCAGTGCAGACCAGTGTGAGTTTTCCTGTCAGATTACACATCTCTGTGGTATGTACCTCATCTCCGGGAGAATGCATCTGACCCTGCTGTTTTAATACTTTCCACAGATGACCTCCCACTCTCCCCTCTGAAGAGACAGCAGTATCTGTTCGATGTCTCAACCCTCTCCAAAAAAGCAGAGGTGCTGGGAGCCGAGCTCAGGATATACACTAAAGTGTCTGGGAATTTCAGGATATCGGAAACAGAGCCCGTCGACATCCAGCTCCTCTCCTGCCATGACCACCAGCTGCTTGACTCCAAAACACTGGATCTGCAGGATTCTCACAGGCCCAAGTGGGAGGTGTTGGACGTCTGGGAAATATTCAGAGAACGACAGCAGGGGAAGCTCTTCTGCCTGGAGCTCAGGGCCTTGCTGGACAACCCTGAGAGAGAGCTGGACTTGCACCTTCTCGGCTTGCACAGGCACAGGAGGCCTCAACAGAAGAAAGCCATCTTAGTGGTCTTCACCAGGTCCAAGAGGAGGCAAACTCTCTTTAGTGAGAGAAGAGAAGGGAGGGCACTGCTGGGCTTAGAGGAGAAGACCAAAGAGAGAGGCTCTGGCACCAAAGCCAGCAGGAGAAGGAGGACAGCTGCATCCAAAACCCGTCACAGGAAGAGACACGGCAAAAAGGCCAAATCCAGGTGCAGCAAGAAGCCCCTGCATGTCAACTTCAGAGATCTGGGCTGGGACGACTGGATCATTGCCCCGCTGGATTATGAGGCGTACCACTGTGAGGGTGTGTGTGACTTCCCCTTGCGCTCCCACCTGGAGCCCACCAACCATGCCATCATCCAGACTCTGATGAATTCAATGAACCCCAGCAACATGCCACCGAGCTGCTGTGCCCCCTCCAAGCTCAGCCCAATCAGCATCCTTTACATCGACTCAGGAAACAACGTGGTCTATAAACAGTACGAGGACATGGTGGTTGAGTCCTGTGGCTGTAGGTAGTAGATCTGACAGCTGTAGGGATCCACAATGGCCTCTTTCTTGTTCTTCGGGCTCTTCGGCTAATGGGTGTCACGCAGCATCTCACTCTGTGCGGTGGGAAGACTGTGCCTGAATGTGGAGAAACTAGCAACACGTATTCATGCATTTCAGAACCATGCACCCCCAAAGCCAGGTTTAGTACCTCAAACATTGTTTGTACATTTGTTTGTTTGTTCTGTTGCAGTACTGGTTGCCTTATACTCTGCAGTGCCTGCGTATTTTTGGATATACACTAAACGTATCTCTTCTGTGTCACCAAATCAACAAAAGATTTAAAAGAACAGTTTAACATTTTTTGGGCAATGTGCATATTTGCATCTTTGCTGGGAATTTGATCAGAAGGCTGATACCACAAAATACAAAGCTACGCCCCGGACACTGTTAGCTTAGCATAGCTCTGTCTCTAAGGTAACAAAATCTACCTGAAGACCTGCACAAAACACCACCTGTGATGTGTAAAGCAATTAGATCATTTCTTTATGCGCTTTAGATGTGCTGGTAGGTGGATTTTGTTACCTTCAGACAGAGCCAGGCTGTTTCCCTGATTCCAGTCTTTATGCTAAACTACGCTAACCATCTCTCAACTGCAGCTTCACATTTACTGTGCGCACATGAGTGGAATCAATTATCAGATTTAACTCTGGGCAAGAAAGCAAACAATTTCCCTAAATGCTAAATTATTTATTTAAATAAGATGTCTGAAATGTATCATACCTGAGGGAGAGGAATCTGTTCATACAAAATAATTGTCAGCAACAATTAAAACAATCTGTGTCACTTTTTACCACCAGCTGTTCTTCCCATGGACTGCTAGTACAATGAACAGTTGGTTATGAATATGTGTGATGGTAGATTAGGAATACCCTGTAGTAAAATCAGTACAGGTACAATGCGTGTCAGAGTACACAACTGAAACCTTGAAATATGTGGTGTCTTCCTACAGTCAGAGTAGTCTGAATCCAGCTGTGTAATAAATCTCTAAAAATGATATCACACTGGTCTAACAATCAATAATAGTCTATTGTTGTTTGTTGTTTAATTTAGGACATGCTGATTGGACCACATTGATTGATTACATTTCTTGGCTTGTTTCTTCCGTACTTCAGAAAAATGTTATGATTAGCAAAGTGGAATCCTTGAGCGAGATCTCTGCCAGGATTAAAAAGCAGGTTTCCAGCACTTGACATGGCCTATAACTCAGGGAACAGCCTCGAGCGCTGGAGACAATGTGAAGTCCCCTTTTCACATAAAACCACCATCAGTACATCCTCATTAGTTTACTTCTTTGTGTCTGTTATGCACTGTTCAAAGGTATCTTGTGTAAATATTTGATAGAGAAATAATAATTTATGTTCTAGAAATAAGTTATTGCATTTTTATTGTCTGCTTTGCTCCAGTACAACTTCCAGACAGTGTGAGTCACACATCTGGATGTTCAGGTTCAAATAAACACGTGGGTTGTTTTGATAACGAAGCATCACAGCTGTGTTCTGCTCGCAGATTGTGAAATATTACAACATCATCAGTATTGTCAATGTGCATCTAAATAGGAAAGAATTCATCCCCAAAGAACAAGCATTGTTTTTGTTTGGGGAATGTGTTTCTTTTCCTATGCTATTGTTTAAAACATTGGTAGCACATTTTAGCTGTTTTATTCTGTTTATGTTTTGTATTATTTACTGGAATCCAAATATAATATATAATATGCCTGACTGACACAGAGAGATGGATGAATAATTCATAAATTTAGCAAACTGAGTTACATCAGCTATAGAGCATTAGCTACCGAACGTTTGCTAACATTAGCAAACATTAGCCTCCATAGCAGACCTAGCGAAACTGTAACAGTAAAATATCTGACTGTACTGAAATATGCAAAAGTGTGTTTATTTCTTATGAGGACTGTGTTACTTTATAATTAGACATCTCACTTTTAACCTGCAATAACCTTTTTTTTTTGGTCACTTGGGGGCAACATTGTTATCACATTTCAAGTTGATTGCTTGCTTTCTGTTTTTTACACATCCAGCTGTTTTGTATTAAATAAGATTATTCATTTGGGGTCGTGTTTGTGTTCACCTCATGAATAGAAGTCCAATAGTCACTCTCTTTTAGCTCTGTTTTTGGTCTATACTAACTTCTCCTGAGGGACATTTCTGGTTCTTCAGCTGCTAAATGCTCCACTACCTTCAGCAGTTAGTCTCCAACTGTGTCTGTCTGCTGTTTGCTGCTGGACAGGTAGTGGACACTGGCTTTTTACAGCTTTTTCTGAAAGTAGCTGCCAACAATGACAAGACCGAACCAAAGCAGTTGTGGTTCAGACAGATAAACAATGAGCTGAAGTTCACTATTAAAGCCCCTTAAAAATGAATGGTGCAGCAGATTCATGTGATAACTTGCTGTAGGTTCCCCTGCACATAGTCTTCACATTGTTTTCCCACTTTTGTTTGAGTAATTGTTATACAATAATATCTATTATAAGCACTTTTAAGGAATAGTGGGTATCAGTAGATATTATATTTGCCTTTTGACAAACCTTTCATTAATATATATGACAATGTGCCTGGGAAATGGGATTTTGTAGCCGTTAGAGGTTTTTGTGAACATTTACTCTTTTTTGTTTGCAGTTAAAGGGCCAGTGCACAGATAGGAAAGCAGAACTGTACTTGCTGCTGACCAATATAAAAGAGAGAAAGAGAGACTCATCATTTTCCTCTCTACTGTTACCAGATGAGTGCTGTGATTGACAGTCTGCAGGGTGTAAATAGGGTCAGCAGAGAAGTGAAAAGATGGCCATATTTCCTGGGTGGGCTGCCTGATGGAGGTTTTTGGGGGTATATGTGACCAACAGATTGGTGGGCAGATGTAAGTTACATACCACCCCCCACCCCCGCTCCGGGTGGCAATCAAGAGGGGAGTGTGATGGGAAGGAATGTGTGTGATGCTGTCTGAAGGCCTAACTGTCACTCCTCATACACTAAGGTGAGATATAGAATAAAAAGGGGTGGCCAGTTTGAAGCAGCTGCTCTGAACAGCCAGTGAGGCACAAAGGGCTGGAATGTATCGTCTCTGTAGCAGCGTACGGAGGCATTTCTGCACTGTGAGATGATGGAGAATATTTGCCAGGGGAAACAAAGGCAGATGTAAATCAAGTGCAGGATTCAGCTGTTGTTATCAGATGGGGCAGTAACTCAGGGCTCATATACGTCTGTGATGTTAAATGTTTCACACATGTCCAGAGTGCAGTCAGGAGGAAAGGAAAGCTGAGAAGGGAAGGAATGACTACAGTGACTGAGATCTGGAATGTGATATTACAGAAAATATGTTTACAACAATTGCAGTAAAACGAAAAAACATTCCCCTGAAGTATTTATATGATATAATTCAAACATGTCTCCCTTGTTTGTGTCTAGTCCAAGGCGAAAGTGATGCCATGTCATCTTGACCTCTGTGTTTGCTCCGGTAAACTTGGCCTGTTCGAGGCTTTACAGTGGAGTCAGATGGCAGCAGGCTCAAATGCCTTGTTTCTTCTTCTGTTAGTCAAGTGAACGTCAGTGACATTTTATCTGTAGTCTTTGCTGCAGGGTGTTATTTTGCTAAACATTGATTGATGAGTTTCCATGTAGACATCTAGGTTCCAACTGAAATAAAGTTGTTTCAGAATCTGCCTAATTATTTCAGTTACTGTGAACTGCATTATGACTACATCTCAGTGTGAAGTGGGTCCTAATGACATACTGAAACATATTCACTGAACCAGTTGATAAAATGTTGACAGTTGAGAATTTATTAGCTACACTTATATAAACCTACTGCATTCTAATTCAACAGTCCTGTAATAAATCCTCCTTCATGAATGTGATGTTATGTTTTAGAGCGATCCACCCCATTTATATTTATGAGGTTAGGCTAAATAATAACATAATGCTGACAGTTTCTCTGAAACAGTTTAAACAAACTGAACATTATCACCTTCGTGAAGGGGGATTTATCAGGACTGTTGGATTAGACTGACAACTGAGTGAATGCTTTAATGTAAAAGCAGCCTGACCTTCAGAAGACAATATACATTCAATCAGACTTTGATGCAACAAATTTTATTAGTGTACACAATTTAAAACATACATACATTTACTTCTGGAATTTTTAAAACTTCAGAGTTAAACATAAAACCATCTTAAAAACTGGTGTGTCTTTTCAGGCCTTTATTTCTTTTACATTTGTTCTTCCTGATTCATGGGCCTGGCAGACATTTAGCTGCAGCAGCGATGTTTCTGTTTATTTGAGCAAAATCCTTCACTGATCTTTCGGTTAGCTGTGTGCTAACTGATACAGACTTGGAAGAGAGGGATTACACAGCTGAGTGACAGAGCAAAGTGCAGGTGAGTAGCTCAGGTGTGTCCTCTGTGGGTCAATGCTGCTGCTAAGCTGTGTCTACTTGAATGTCACTTGGAAACAAGGAAGCAGTTCGAGGCTTAAAGTTATTGCTTGTTGCATTGAGAATTAAAAACACAGTATGTTATGGTGATATAAGGCATTTGTCATGATAAAACCACAGGTAGTAAACATATTCTGGTTTTCATTGTTCCTCACAGTACTACACACTGTGTGTACTGAACGCTACAAACCAGCACTGACAGAGAACTAGTTTGGCTGTTAGTCTCTGGCTGATCTGACAGGAAGTAAAAACTATGTTGTGCAAGTGGATATAGATTGAATCGAGATGCTGGAAAACCCCTGGCTTTTCACATTTTAAAACCTCACAAATAGGACACAAACATGTTTTCCAAGAAAATGTCTCTGCAGCTCTGTCCACAATTTATCTTAATCTACATCAGCTGTGAGAACTTTTCCTATTTCTCTTTGCATTTTTGGGAAGATGGTGTCCAACAACACCCCATTAAGAATACAGTTATCTTAGTCTGCATGTTGTCATGTTTAAGTGTAAATTTGGTCATTTTTCCAGAGTGAACTTATGGCACAGTTGATTTATAGTGTGCCGTTCGGACTTGAACGGTGATACTTATCCGCCTCAATCAGTAGGAGCTGCGCCTCAGTTTCATAAGCTGGTGGAACGAATCAGTTTGTGTTTGGTTTAGAGCTGTACATAGCATTTCCCCATCATCCATGCACTGAAGAGTGAAGATGTTACTGCTTCACATTTTGTTTGTGCAGGCTCTCCTCCTGCTTGTCTTTCCCCTGAACCTTGTTGGAATCCCTTGAATTACAGAAGCCTGTAACTGGCACAGGCAACAAAATGACAGTTCCTCCGTGGAGAGGGGAAAGCTACCTGAGCAGAGAAAGAAAAAGGTGACTTTTGAAGGGGAAGGAGACAACACAGCATCAAACCAAGTCAAGGAGAAAGCGAATATGTAGGCCAAAAAGTGGGCAAATAAGATAACAAGAGTATGGCAGTATAATGTCAGTATACCATGGTCACCATCTTAGTTTAGCCTATTGGTATGCTAACACTTGTTAATCAGCACAAATCATAAAATACAGCTGAGGTTGGTATAGGATCAATGCAGGCATCTGAGTCAATAATGCACAGGATCAATAATGTGCGTGATTCTAGCCAGACGCTGCATCACTGGCACCTTCTAAACGCAAAGAAACTGTTTTGACATTCTGACATTGTGTGTTCAATCCTCAGCTAGCTTAGTGAAGTCCAGCTGCTAAAAGACAAACACAAAATGTTGTAAAAAACACTGCTCAAATGGTCGTGACCAAAGTCAGAGGACTGAGAGCTTTTGGAGTCAAGGGTTCAAACACTGTGATGCTCACTAATTTTTCAAATATAATGTCCCGAGGAGCCAAAACCTCCAAAAGCTCCTGGTAACAAAGCTGAATTATTTCTGGTCCAATAGACCATAAAGGCTGAGGTTCAGTTCATGGACATGCCACTGAATTTTGAAAACCTGAAGTAAACACTCAAAAGCTTCAGGTTTTAATAGTTCAGGGTGTTACGTACTTAGGTACTGTACTTGCGTACAGTTTTAAGGTATTGTAGTTGAGTACTGGGTGAGTATTTCCATTTTCTGCTAATTCATACTTCAACCTCATTTCAGAGGCAAATATTGAACTTTTTACCCACTCTACATTTATTTGATAACTTTATTTTCTTTTCAGAATCAGATTAAAAGAACAAAATACTGTACAGTATAATCATAAGACTTAGCTGATCCCCAATGACAAATTCACCAGATACCCAGCGGTTAGTAATGTCTTTCAGATTAAAATGATTTGATCCAAAACTGCATGAGTACTTTTACTTCAAGTATTATTTGAAGATAATTCTTTTGTATTTTTACAGTAAAACGTCAAATTTTGAATGCAGAACTTTTAGTTGGGACATATTTTTACGCTGTATTATTGCTACCTTTACATAAGTGAAAGTTCTGAGGTGCTTCTTTAGTCTTAATAAAGTGGTTTGCACTTACAGAATTTTAGGAAAGATTTTTTTGTTTGTTTTCAGAATGACTAGAATTAGTGGCCCACACTTGGTTGGTGAAGTAGGGAAGGTGTGTGTGTGTGTGTGTGTGTGTGAGTGTGCGTGCGTGTGCCCCTGCTGCACGGCCCCATCAGTCAGGCCTTTTAGCAGCAGAACAGTCCAGGCAGAGTTACTTTTAGCGGGTGCTCCCCTCTTCCTCTCTCCACAGCCTTTTACTGTCACACAGGGATCTAAATGATGAGGACATGCAGAACATGCAGATGTTTGCAGCAGGAACTATCTCATACGGACACACCTGGCTCTGATTTATCTGAGATAGAGCATGTAGCATGTGCACTTGACATCAGCTTTTATGTGTGCAGAAAGAAACTTAGAGGAAAGAGAGAAGAAGAAGAGGTGGAGGAGGAGGAAGGGGACTGTAAGTAAAAACAGAGCAACTGTCACTCATACCCCCGGAGCACAATGATAATCAGGGCTGCTTTTGTACAAGAGCTACTTTGGTGTGGGGTGACAGTGCTGGTAGTGTTGTTTTACAGTCAGTCTGCAGTTTTAAATAGAAACCAGACGAGGTGG